CACTTTGTGGGATAAAGGCTTGTTGTTGTTATTGTTTCTGTAGTATTATTGGAACTGTCCGAAAGTTGGAGTATTCTTAATTCTCTTTGGCAGTGTGCAAACAAACAGATGAATTAGGAAGGAGAGATTTGCTCTCCTAAACATTCAGGATGCTAAAGATAAAATGAACCTTACTGTTGCTTCATTCAACTTTTTTCAACATCGGTGTTTAAACCAATAAAAATCATAATATCATTATGAACTTATAGTCATGTCTGTTTATCTCTTTCAACATGCTTTTCTTTTTTGGATAGATTATTTTCATTAACGCTTCTTTGTCCTTTATTTTAACTTTCATAGTTTGTTGCGTTTGAATGAGCAAGTAATATATTTCAAGAATAAGTAATTAAAAATAAAAATTTTGAAAATCATATATATTTCAATTATTGTGTGGTTTTCTGTCAAATGATAGAATTAGCTCTTCAACTTCGTTTTTTGTTGGCACTTTCTTTGATGAAATCATGTCTTAGCTATATATTGTTACTTGCTGTAACAAAGTTAACTGACATATTGTATGCTTGATTTTAATAAGATCCAACCTTATGAAACATTTGGTTTATTAAAAATGAAAATATATTAATTTATTATAGTGCTATGATAGCTAGATTTGAAGATAGAAACTTTTTTAATGGGAGTAACTGGATAGTATGTCGTTTATTTTTTAAAGGGTGGTTTGTGAGCAATTGCTGATTGCATTGACTTGAAGTTCATTGTTTCAAACCATAGAAATCATTTTTTCCGGGAATATGTTTGCATGCACTTTCTTTGATTAAATCATGTCTTACTTTTATATTGTTACTTTCTGTAACAAAGTTAACGGACATGTTTTATGCTTGATTTTAGTAAGATCCAACCTTATGAAACATTTGGTTTATTTAAAATGAAAATATATTAATTTCTTATAGTGCTATGATTGCTAGATTTGAAGATAGAAACTTTTTTAATTTGAGTAGTTGGATAGTATTCCGATTATTTTTTAAAGGGTGGTTTGTGAGCAATTGCTGATTGTATTAACTTGGCATTCATTGTTTCAAGCCATGGAAACCGTTTTTTTGCAGTCTGGGAATATGTTTGTTTGCATACTGCTTCCTAATATTGGATTGAAGGGAGGATTATTCACTGCATTATTATTCATGACTATTTTTTAAGAGAAGTTTAAAATGATGGCAGAAATGCTCCTTGAAGTCTGTAATGTTGTGACTTTTTTTTGAACTCGGTTATTGTTCGGATATTTGCAATGTTACTTGGAACTTACACATGTGCTACTGTTTGGTAGCAGAGCGAGTCCGGTCATTTTGTTTTTAGAAAGATGCTAACTTCAATTTTAGAACTCTGGATAAAAATTTCTAGCGTTGAGATTGGAACCATGCTACTGCCTACAATAGAAATGCTTTTGGGACTGTTTTTTCATGAACCATTGGAGTTCTACTTGAAATTTCATCCTTTGCATCATTGTTAATCTTTATTTTTCTTTTAATTCTCCTTTCTGGTCAGCGTCTTTTATTTTTCTTCAAATGCTTGTTCTTACAGGGAAAGACATTTGATGCTGCTTGTTCAATGATTGATAAGTTCTGGCAGCAAAAAAGAAAGCGCTCTCGAATTGGCCAATCATCTAATGTGCGGACCACTGGTTTATATCAAGGAGGAAACATTCTTAAGACCGGACTCCAAAGTTTTGCTTCAGGAAGTGGCCTTGAGATGCCCGAAAGAGAGGAAAAGTCTAAAGTTGAAGTACCAAACAAAAGGAGTCGAACTTCTCCGCTTGAAGTATGTCTTTTCTTTTTGAATTTGCTTCCACTTCATTGTGACTGAAAATTTATGCTTGGAATCTGTTGTTATTTTGATAATCAATGTTGCTTTTTTGACATTTCATTATACTGTTTATGCTTTCTGTTGCATTCAAGATCTTTAAGCATGAACAATGCTGAACATTACAGTCATCCTATTCTTCCTTGATGCCATGTTAAGATTTGCATTCATCTTAATAAGTGTTCTGATAGTGTTTCATGCTCAGTTTACGATGGTTGTAATCTCTCATGATAGTGTTTCATGCTTCCATGGTGCTTGGGATTTTTTGTTGAATTTTTTAAATGGACACAGTTATAGTCAGTTATTTGTGATAGTCTTGATATTAACTGACACGTTGCTAAAATTTTTATACTTCTCAACCATTCATCCACGCATAATGTTTCACAGAAAGAAAACCAGAACTTGCACCATCATAATTTCCACAATTTCACAACGTTAATCATTTAAGAGGAGAAACTATTGAATGATGCGTTTCTTCATAATTTACTTCTTTGTTGAGCATTCTCAACAATTATTGATAGAAATATTATATATTATATATATATATATATATATATATATGTTTTATTTAGATGGATGTACAGACTAATGGCACTGCAAGAGCTTCCAGCCTTCTTGAGAGGGATAAAGATGCTGTAAAATTCATAAGCGGAAGTACAACACATTTGGTCGAAAATGATGGAGCATTTTCACCAGTTGCTGATGGTTGGGAAAGGTCAAAATTGAAGAAGAAGCGTTCTGCAATAAAATCTGATACTTCAGGTTCAAGGCTATCTAGATCACAAGGCGCTGAACGGGAAGCTAAAAGAGGAATGCAGCATAAGCTTGGCATTGATGCCCGGCCAAGAATTAGTCATGCACACAGTTTCAGGTACAATATTTGACGTTCCAATTTTTATATAAACTTCTTTGTTTCAGGAATTTCTTTTTGCTTTTCAATTGCTTCTATTTATTTAAAGCTGGAGATTGGATTGATTAACTGAAGTTTTACAGGCCAGGATCCGATAGGAGTGCTGTAATGGTTGGAAATTTAGACACAAGCCCTCAACATGCTTCCAGTATGCGCTTTAGGAATGAACTTAATAATGGTTCGCTTCAGAATGACAAAAGGGATGTACGATTTTGTCCAGAGACTGAAAGTGCCTCCGTTAAAGTTATTACCAAGTAAGATATTTATTTTTTCCAATATATTTAGCTTTGAAATGGTTTTTTTAACACCATTTTTGGATTTTCAGGCCTACCAGCCGAGAAGATAGGAGTGCTGCAAGTCCATCTTTTTTAAAATTTGGCTCTTTGAGAACACGGACCAATCCAGGTGCATTGCCAAAAAGATCAGCCAACGTCCTTCGAGTTATGGGAAATCCTGAGGATATGGAGCAGCCTCAAGCTACAGAGAAGCTCAATGCGCTTGGTGTTAATAATAGGAAAAGAGCAGCTTCTGCTACGTCATCATCACCTCCTGTAGGGCATTGGGCTGTACAAAGGCCAAAAAAGTTTTCCCGATCTTCAAGAAGATCAAGTCTCTCCCCCCTTTTTTCAAGCCATGATGAGTTTTCTGTATCAGAGCCTTTAGATGATGTTTCCATTCATCATGATAGTTTAGGGGAGGCAAGGCATACATCTTTGAATGCTTCCCAACAGTGTAAAATAAGAGGCGATAATAGTTTGGCCTCAGCTTCATTGTCAGAAAGTGAGGAATCAGGTTTTCAAGTAAACAAGGTAAAATGTAAGGTAAATAAATGCAGAGAAATGGAGGATAAATCTGGTCAAACTGTTCATAAATCTTCAAATTTTATCATGGCATCAAGGAAGAATATGATGACTGTTGAGGAGGATAGTGGAGATGGTGATTGTAGGGAAGGGAGGACTGGAAGAGGTATTGCTCCTACTAGGTCTGGTTTGGCAGCAAGAGTTGAGAAGCTTGGTGAGGCTGTCACTGCCAAACAGCAGAGAAGTGTCAGACATGGCTCCGAAAGGGTTGAAAGGTGATTAGTTGTCTCATCTAACTTAATAAATAAAACATTTTGGCATCACTTCAAAGTGTGAAGTTAATTGCTGCCTCAGCTCACGTCTGCACTAATAATATTCTCTAATTTTTCCTTTTTCTCAGCAAGACAGATCGTCAGCATATCAAGAAAGTTTCTGAGCGTAAATCTTACACACGTCCAAAGCAGTCGATTAATGTTTTATCAATGGAGTCATCTGGTACCTCTTTATGGCTCAAAAACTAATCACTCACGTGCTATAGAGGAATATTCCATTATAATTTATGTGTTTCCTTAATTCTTGTTTTGCATTTGTGCTTTCTTATCTCAGAAGAAGCTTTTGATGATCATGACGAGCTTGTGGCTGCAGCAACTGCCGCCGTTGATACTGGTATTACATTACATTTCGTGAAACTACAGTTTACCTTTAAATTTTTGGAGAAAATATCACATATTAAGAAAAACATGATCCGACAATCAGGTTGCCTCCATTATGATATTGAGATCATTATTTTGAATCATGAAAGTGCTTCTTGTTGAAGCATGGATGCAGCCATCTAAAAATACCTTCTCATACGTTACAAGAAGTGGACCCTTGTGTACACCCCCATCATGTATGGGGCAAAACTTTCTATTTTAACAAATTCATGTATGTGATTCTTTTTTTTTGTTGTTGATCAGGAAGGGCTTGTTCTAGTTCATTTTGGAAGCAATTAGAGCCAGTCTTTAGTTTTGTTTCCTCAGAAGACATAGCTTTCTTGCGCGAACAGGTAATAATTGGATACATCCCAGCAGTCATATTGACCTCCTTCTATTTATGCAGTTAAGATGTGTATGATAATTGTTTTTAACCAAACAGATCCAACTTACCGATGAGTCAGCAGCAAGAACCCATGTTGATGAAGATAATTTTCAGAAATTAAAGGTATTCATATTTTGTTGTCAATAGCATTTCTGGTGAAAATTATGTTGATGTTGTAGGTCTAAACTTCTTATACTTTACGTTTTTTCTTGCAAATTTTTATTTTCATACAATGATTTTTCTGCCCAATAGTTGGTTCTATCTACATGGTTTTACAATTTTTGTTTTTAACGAAGGCTCACATATTAGTACATCTTTTTTTATTGACCATTTTTCTGCATAAAGTGGGGAGTTTTTTATACTGCTATCAACTGGTATGAGTTCCTCTTTCTCATTTTTCCAAGTTGATCGTGAACACTTCACAATGCCATTGGGACCCTTTTGTCTGACATTCTCTTAAATGATCATTTTTTTTTGCGTAAACTGGAGACATTTTATGGTGTAATTACAAGATCTGAGCTCCTCTATTTCATTTTCAGGTTGATCTTGAGCTTGTCCCAATGTCTTCAGGACCAGTTGGTACTAATGCATGGAAAAGCACTAGCTTGTCTGATGGAATTAGCTCTTACGAATGTGATAGAGAAGGGGGATTTATGAAGGATACTGGACATACTGGTCCTCTTTCAAACAGTGGAGTTTCACTTTGCCAGACACTTCTGTCTGCCATAATTGGAGAAGAAGATATCGAAAATATTTGCAGCACTGTTGACTATGGGGAAGGATATTCATTCGAGGATTGCAATGATACACAGTTTGAGCTTGAAAAAGGTTTGAAATCTAAAGTTTTGAACCTGCAGTTGCAGGGGGATAGCCAATTTGCTAGAACTTCAGACTGTTATAAAGTTGATGAAGATTGGAGATTCCCTTATTTAACTTCAACTGAGAGGTCGGGAACTAATGGCATCATGGAAACTTACAGTAAAACATCATCAAACTTTCAGCTAACCCCGAAGCAACTGGTGCCAAAGCAGACAACACCATCCAACGGAGCATGCACTGTGTTTCAGTACAACCAAATGAACATCAATGACAGGCTTATTGTTGAACTGAGTGAAATTGGCATTCACCCTGAAGTTGAATCTGTGGTAAGTTTTTATTTTGATTTAAGAATATTTCTAATTTTGTGTGTTATCTTGTGCTTCATGCTGTTGATAAAATTTGCCTTTTTTCCTCTGGTTCAATTCATTTAATTCTTTTACTGGTTAGTGGACTATCTTCATGCAGATTACTTGCTTCTCTATCAGAACTTTATCTGAAGTATATGCTATTGAAATGAATATTACTCGTCAGTCTAGACTAGAGACTATTGAAATAATGTTTAATCTACTATTGGAACATCATTTTAAAAATTGTGTATTTTTTTCCCTAATAGATTTCTTTATAAGAGATGACCTGTAGGCCATACATGACAATAATAAAATGTTTAAATAGTTCCTAGGGCATATAAATCTGGCTGTATTGTCTAACAGCTCCTGTGTAGTAAAGATAAAATATGCTAGAAGGCAATAGCCTCAAACACATAAATATGAAAAGACCTAATTTTCCAAATCATCTTCATGCAGGTGATAACAATTGATTATGATTGCCTTCAAAAAAAGAAAAAAAGAAAAAAAGAAAAAAAACAATTTAGTATGATTATGACTATTATATCTTGTTTGGAGTGTAGCTTGTGGATTGATTTCAATCATAGAATATGTACCAAAAGTTAAAAAATAGTTCTATAGATGACACATTTATATTTTAGAATTTGCTCTTCACCTCCCTGTATTAAGGGTTGTGAATTTGTTTAATGAAGCTTGCTTGAAAATTAAATTAAATTTTGACTTGGATTGAACTGATGAGCTAAGCCATGATCCAAATATATGGCCTTTTTTTCGATCCACCTTTATGACAGATGGCCTGGATTGATTAGTTTCACAAGATTTTTTTTTTCAAATATATTTATATTAGATAGTATATACATTAATTGTTTGATTTTAGTTATAGGTTTTGGCTTTTACATATTGTTTCGGTCTGTTTAAGACTCCTACCTGCTTACTACAACAAGGTCCAACCCGCATCCCTGCAGACTGCCGCAACTCCCTCCGCTTTCCCTATTGCTATATAGCAACCAACCTTTCCCCATCCACCCATTGAAATCATCCAGGTGGTCCGTTTGGGACACTTTCTGGTTGCTTTGCTTTTCTGACTGCTCTCACAATTCTGTTTGGGGAACTGTTTTATTGCTATTTGATAAAAATTTCTATGGTAGAAAGCTTTTTTTTCAACCTGACCTGTTAAAGTGTGATGACTACCAGAAAATTGCGGTTTGACATTTTTGAAATTAAAATAAATTTGTAATTGCTACCACAACGTTTGAATAACAATTTCTTCTGCTGCAGCTTCATAGTTGTTTCTTCAAACAACTGCAGCTGCCCCAATCAGATCCTAAATTTATTAGTTATTGAATAAAAAATTTGATAATATTAAATTAGTAATTAATTTATCCTAATTTTTAATTGTGATTATCGTGGGAATAATACTCTATATTATTTACACAACACATGCATTTGCATACACCATTTTTAGTCGGTCATTTGCCAGTAGATAACGACTCCTATGGTTAATGACTTTCTCTAGAACATTAAACTTCTTGTAATAGGTGGAGTACTTTTGCATTCAATCATTTAGCTTCTTACTAAAGATTGCTATGGGATGACCTCTTTGACTCAATACAACTTAAATTCCTCATATTGGACGCTTCACAATTCACCTTATTCATTTGGATGAAATTTGGAAGAAATAAAACATAAGATTGAGTATATGTTTCTTCAATGTCTATAAGCTAGTCTGTGTTTCATTTGACTAAGCGAATCGTTCTAACTTGTGGAGTTCTGTCAAAGGCGTTGCTATCAAGTTGAAATTTCCTATAAAAAGAAGTCAACCCATGAAATGGAAGTGCTTGAGTGAATGCTTATGGACTAGGGTTATTGATAGCCTCAATCTTAATCAAATTCATCTTAATGTCAGTTATGAATACAAACATATTCAATAAAACAAGTTGTGTGGTAAGGAAATGAGACTACTTTGGGTGACCATATAATTAAGCTACTCAAAACACCTAAACAATGTCTCTCAAGTTTTATAAGTGATCCTCCATAATACAATTGTACTCCAAGATATCATCAAAATGTACAATCATGAATTTATTGATGAATGCATTTTATACTTGTTTCATTAGCATGTAAGTGCTCAAAGTGTTTGATAAGCCAAGGAGGCATGACCATTCACTCGTACAAGCCATCTTGAGTCTTGAAAGCTATTTTTCATTATTCTTTTGGTTTTACTCTCATCTGGTAGAGTAACTCGCATAAATCGACCTTGGAGAAGCTGTTGGTTCCATACAACTGATTTAAAAAATCATTCAGCTATGAAATGGAGAATTTGATTTTGGTAGTGATTTTGTTCACAATTGTCCTATCAATACACATACGATAAGAATCATCATTCTCTGACACAATCAGAGTTGGAATCTCAAATAGACCAACACTTTTACGAATCAAGCCTCATTCCATTAAATTTGTAACTTGTTTATTGCAACTCCTTGTGCTCAACTCGGCGTATTCGCTAGGCAGGGTAGTTTGGGAGATTAGACCCTACAATAAAATCTAAGGCATACCTATTCTCTCTTAATAATGGTAACCCAGGAGGTAGACTTTCGCTCAAGTCATCCCAAAACTATCTCAACAGGGGCTACATTTTGTTTAGTGTCAGATCCTTGAACTCAATGCTTTTTTGGACCATCAATATTAGTCCTACTGATGCTTCTTTCAAGACATTCATAAAGGTAGTGCGTGGTATTATAGTCTCATACTTTTTATGAATGCCCATTATCTTGAACTCCTTCTAAGGTGAGCACTATGCGCTTCTCATTGTTGATGAAGGAATATGTGTTTTGTAACAATCATGACATGTGCAATGGTCCTACTGCCAAAGATAGCCCAACTAATATTTAAACATTAGTTGATCAAATATGTTCGTCTACTCCTTTATAGAAGAATTTCTCAAATGCAATTTTTTTTTGCTATGTCATTTTGCTACATGTTAGAATTTTATGAACATTTTTTGCTAGTAATATGGGGAATAGTATTTGTGTTGCATCACTCTATTCATCCTTGGCTATATGTTGATCTTACCATTCACTTCTCACTATCAAATGTACTTCAAATTCTCCCAAAACTAATAACTGTTCTTTCTAAGTTTGATTGCAGATAATTTGGCTCTCTTGTATTGGGGAACATTTTTGTTTTTAAAAAATCATTTCTTTGTTTTTAGTCACTCTATGAATTCGTCTTGATTCATATGTTAATCACAATTTGGCAAGCTAATCTTCGTCCCAAAATCATTATTTCTTCATTGCTTTTCAGTGCTAAATTGTCAGAGCAACTTTGAAAACTTATTGGTAGAAGAATTTAAATCTTTTCTCTCGATCGAGTGAAATCATAAATCCTAAACCCTCTTATGGCTTTGGGCGACTTCTTAGAGTTATCTCCTTTCAAACTTAGCAAGCCTTTGTTGTAGTTGGAGAATTTTCTTTTTCATATCTTTTATTGTAAGCTCATGAATACCCTTTGCATGCATCTTCTCGGCGACACGGTGTTTATTATCTTATAGAGTCTTGACTTAGATAAAAAATGCGGTTTAGGAGTAGGGTTAGGGATGATATTTGATTGGGTTGATGAGTTAGGTTTGTGAATTTTAGGTTTAGAACTGGGGAAAATAAACTCATAAAGATTTAGGGCTTGGGTGGTTGACATCGATCTAGGGTCACTAGATGTGGGAAAATCATCGAATATGCTAAGAGAGTTGTAGGATGAGAAGCAAAAGGGGATACGGTGGCAGCTACTGAGAAGTCGACATAATCTGCTGCTGGACAAAAACTTGGCTGTAGGAACGACGGGTCGACAACAAGGTTTGATGGCATAGACGGTCTTTCAGGAGAGATCACCACTTAGATCCAATCAAGTACATGCAAACTACTTGAGAAAAATGAAATGATATAACACTACGATAAGAGAAAACTAGAGAAAACAATCTCTAATGTATAAACTAAAACCAAAAGTCTTCGAAACAAAAGTTCACAATATATTTAAATGCCCAAACCAAAATAAGTTGAGATTTGGTATAGAGCAGCATATTCTTATTGATCGAAGGAGGGGTATTTAACCTCAATTACAATAGACACAACAAAAGGAAGAAATAAAACAAAATAAAACAAATAAGATAGAAATAAAACAGAATAAAATAATAGGAAATACATAATGAGGGGATAAAAGCTAATGATGAGTAATGATGACAGGGATTGCTATTAAAAATCCAATACTCTCCCTCAGGTTAAAACATAAATGTCAGTCATGTTCAAATTGGATTTGAAGTCATCGAACAAAGGACGAGGAAGATTCTTGGTGAGGATATCCGCTAGTTAACCATTGGAGGGCACAAAGGGAACACAAATTTCTTCAGACTCGATTTTTTTCTTAATGAAGTGTCTGTTAAGGCATGGAAGTAGTTCGATCATGCTGGGCTGGATTGTGAGCAATTCTGATGGCGGCGTTATTGTCACAGAATAGCTGCAGCGGGATGGAGGTTGACATACAAAGTTCGCGGAGCATGATCCGTAACAAGAGAGCTTTACAGATCTCCATGGACATGGATCGGAATTCAGCTTTAATATTGCTTTGGGCAATTACATACAATTTTTTTCTTTTCCGCGTGACAAGATTGTTTCATACAAATGAGTAATATCTCAAGGTGGAACGTCGATTATGAACTGACTCGACCCAATCAGCATTTGTATAAACATCAATAGATCGAGATGTGTGACGAAAGAAAAACAAATCTTAGCCTGATATATCTTTTAAATAGTGGAGAATCTGACGAACAACTTAGAAATGGTGCTCATAGGAGTCATGCATGAATTGACTCCATATACTTACTGTGTGACATGTCGGGATGAGTGTAGACTAGATGGATGAGTTTTCCCACAGGGTGTTGGGAATGAGTTTTGTTGACAGACACATCATTAGGAATGTCAATTAATTTTTCA